CCATCACCTTGATCAACACAATCAGGAAATATTGGCATCAAATCCTTGCATTATAACAAAACTGCTTTATATACTTTATAACATGGTGCATTTTGCCATCAATTATGTAAATGCTGCAAATAGTCATGAAAAGAAATTCTGCCCAATTTTGGCCTTCTTTAGTTTGATTACATTAAATTAAATAGCACTTTACTAATTTTGCTTAGTATAGTAAAGTAATAACATAGGTAAAAGCAGTGTGGAAGACATATTCTGCATAAATTGTATTGGAATCAATGGCCTGTACTCATAGTACAGACTACTGATTCATAGTACAGGTCACATAATATAGGTCACTTGACTTACATCTTATCTAACAACTGTTCAAAGTTATACACAACTTCCCCAGCACTATTTATGACCTTTGGTCATGTGATTGCATTTTGGGGGCTTAGAAAATGTCTAACCTTTATGGCTGTTTGCAGTGTCCTGCAATCATGTGACCACAATTTTCAAGTTTTTTGTGGGTTTTCTATGTTTATTTTTAGTTTCTGGCAAAAAATGCCCTTTGGGGAAAATGGATTTGCTTAACAATCACTTAATGACTATCGCATTCACTTAATGACCATTATTAAAATGCAGTTGTAACTTGAATCTAGACATGTGATGTCTTGACTTATGACCATAATTTCAGGTTCAATTATGGTAGTAAATCAAGGACTATTTATAGTTTCATAAATAATAGCTTTGATTCTTAGAGCTTTAGCAGAACTTCAAACTGCATAATGTTTGTTCTGAAATTGCTGCCTTGTTTGAATGTGGTGTAATAGAACACATTCAAGCACAGACAAGCTGGATGGGGATAAGTTTTGTTCCCTCATAGCTGGAAGAAGCAGCTGAGCATGTTTCCAAATTTTGTGTTGTCCAAACAAAGGCAGTGAAAGATGAGGGGAAGATATGAGTACCCAACCTCTTCTTCATCTAATCCTGGTGGAACTCTTTTATTAAATGGATCTAACTTGCAACTACATTGAAACCAAAATCATAGCAGGGAGCAAGAATTAGATCAATAATATGAGCCATGGTGACGCAGTGGTTAGAATGCAGTATAGCAGGCTACTTCTGCTGACTGCTAGCAGTTTGGCAGTTCGAATCTTACTAGGCTCAAGGTTGACTCAGCCTTCCATCCTTCCCAGGTCGGTAAAATGAGGACCCAGATTGTTGGGGGTAATAGGCTGACTCTGTAAACTGTATAGAGAGGGCTGTAAAGCACTGTGAAGAAATATGTAAGTCCAAATGCTTTTGCTATCCTGTCTGACAACATTCCCATCTCAAAAGATTCCCATCAATGCTATGCTATAGACTGTTTCTATAAACCAACAGAGTAGGTAATTAAATGTTATGTTTTATTTAATTCTAATTTGTGCATAGAGCATTTGAACGTAAACCTGCATATGCTCTTTTGCTTATGTCGTATGCTTTTGTCATAACTCTGCAATCATTTTCAAGTTGTGTCTTCATGTTGTATTAGGACAGAAATAATGTATCCGCTAGCCATGGACTACTGTTGGAAGGGCCAGAGACAGTAAGTGTGCCACTTATATGTAGATGTTACTGAAGCACCACGGGCTGTTCACCTGAACTCAAGCTTTTAGTCTTCAGAAGCATGATTTTTTTTTCACCCTGTAATGTACTTTAAGAATGGGCTTGTGTGAGAATCCTTGATGCTGGCACAGTGGAATCCTGTATGCTTGAATTTAGTTTGGACATGAACAATTCTTGTTTGGTTGTGCACCGACTGATATATTTCACCATGCTAGCAGTGCAGTTCTATGTATCGGCTGCAAAGCTTCTGATCTGCACAGTTATAAAATGAAAGAATTTATCTGAATGCTGCATCAGGAACAAGTGAGAAAAAGAGTGAATTGCACACATATTCTAGCCATCTATTGAGTTATTGGGAACAAAAATAACAACAACAATAACAATAATAGTAATAATAGCAGCCGCCGCCAATTTTTTTATCCAGATTCTGTTGAGTTTTGTTCAAAAGCTTCATGAAAAGATTATAATCTTTCATCAGTATTTTTGTTGGTGGTTTAACATCTGTGGACTGTTAAAATAAATTATTACACAGGCCTGCTTTAATTTAGATTAGTTTGGATTATGGCCCAGTATTTTCAATCAGGATATAATTCCTGCATGCTGCTTAGATTGCTTGTACTACAGACTGCCCTACTAAATATTTTCCAGTAAGCAGCTTTTTTGCCAACATCATTATATCACTTCAAGGATTTATTTTGCATTCTTTTCTTTTTCTTTTTGAATAAGGGTTTTGTCTCTATCCACCCTATCCATCTGGGCAGATATAGTTCAATTGAATATATAGAGACTCAGTAACTAAGTTCTGATGATATTCTTAAGCAGAATTGATAATATGTGAGTATAAGGTAGATTTTTTTTTCATTTAAAATAGATGGTATGTGTGTGTAAATGCTCCGATTAATAGCTGTAAGCATGGCATTTGCATTTCTAGTTTGTGGAATTTTTATTGTGTCTCTGTTGTTAAATGTATATTTAAGTAATGACTGGTTTAGTTATTTTGTAGATAGTTATTCACACTGATAGAATGGTGGTATGAAAACATGCTAACATATAGAAATAAATCTAAAATATTGGATAAATACTATCTGAATGTTATATTGAAATATGTTAAAATTAGAGTTTTTCATAATAATATATATAAGGTTTAGATTTTATCTATTTTTCTAATACTGTGTATAGCTCCCACAAGTAGCTGCACAAGAGATAATCCATTTTAATTTGCTAATTTGGATTAGAAATAAATCACAGTATCTTGCACGCGAGCAGTCAAACTAGGTTTTGGGTATTTGACAGAATTGGATGATACCGATTCCCTGGGTCATGAGATATTATATGTGCAATTCAAATACAGATTCACACTTTAACTTTTCTAGTGATTAATCATTAATCATATTTCAATTTGATTTTTCAGCTTGTATAATATAATGTTAAGTTACTTTTAGTTCTTTGTTCTGTGCATTTTTATGAGAATCCTGTTTATAAAGACACACAACGTTTTATTTAGTTAGTCTGTTCTTTGACAACGCAAAAACACATTTGACTTTTCATTTCATGCATCATAAATATTTAATAAAAGTCTATAATAAGATCCGGTTTAATTATAGTCAATATAAAGTAGTGAAATAAAATTATAATACATTTCTGATTAGTTTGAAAAATATTTTACTCGTGTTCTTAAAGACTTATTTGGTTTTATTTATTTGGCTTTATCCAAACTATTATTGTCAGGAGTGTATGAACATTTTTGTATTTCTTGACAAAGCAAGTATCCCTCTAATGACTGTTACAGAATTGTCATTTGCAAATTATATTGAGTCTATACTACATATTTCAGAATATTTAATGGAAAATGGTATTACTTTTCACATTATCAGTTGATTTCTTGTTGGTAAATAGCAGGAATAATTCAATATATTTCTATTTAAAAGCATTTATAGTATTAATATTTGCTTTAATGTATTTGAATTATAAAAATTGCATTAATGAACAACTGGCTGTTTTTTACAATGAATGCTTGAAATAATTTCTCATGATATTATATATCATAAATATATCTGTAGTTTTCCTTTTTAGAAGCCATATTATGTTCATTTATTTTCATTTATCCCATTTTACTAAACTATCTATTTTCCATTTAATTTACTCATAAATAATTGACATGACTTTATAGATACATTCATGATCTACATTGCTAGCATATGATACTAAAATAAGATATAATATTTCTGATTTGGGATGGCAAGGGGGAGAGAAGAATAGGTTTTTTTAAAAAAAAGCTGTCTGGTGAGTGGTCAAATTGTCATGGCACCATATAATTATTCTTGTGATAAGAAATGTTGATCTTCTTAAACCTTTTCTTAGATAAGACAGAGCTTTTGTTTCTTTTTCTAAAATAAAATTTCTAAATTTAATCAACTGATTAAATTTAAATGTTTGAATGTGGACTTGAGGCCCATCACATTTGGAAGTGATAGAAGTATAAATGATTGATTGATTTTTAATATACAGAAACCTTTGGTGTTTGATTGAAAGGGGGGGAAAGCATTTCACTCTACTGTATTAATTTAGATGTGAATTCAACTAAATGGATATGTGAATACCATAACCCAAAGATCAGCTTAACTTCACATAATACATTAACAGTGCCTGCTACCTTGAGATCAGTCTTATTTTAATTCTCCCAAACTTTTCTAATCCTTCATCAGTATGATTCAACTACATAATTAGGATGACTGCAAGTTTATTTTTAATTCCATGCCACCCTCAAACATTTTTTTTTTAATCATAGTATACAATTTCTGATCAAGCCCAGTTTTGACCATTTTGACTAACAGGACTCCAAGATCTGTGGTAGGAAGGTCTTTCACATTATCTGGTGCATGAAAATTCCAGGGTTTGAACTAAGGCACCTTCTGCATGCAATTTCCTTGAATTATAACCAGTAGTGCCTAGAGGGAGTCATTTTTTTTCCATAAGCACGTGGGATTTGAATTTGGATCTCCTCATTCCTAGTCGTAACAATTGACCTCACTAATTATTTGAATATTAAATGTATGGTATGACAAAGCTCAAATATTTAAATATATTCTATTTGATTATAATGAGCAAAAGTAGCATACTGCATAAACCTATACTGAGAATGTGATCCAACACAATTTCACAAAGGAAAAGCTACTCCTTGTAACTGCATAGATAAACTTGTTCCTAAAAAATCAATATCAGATATTTAGACTGTTTATCTTTCTTTATAATTAGGTTATGTGGGTATGCAACTTATGCCGGAAGCAGCAAGAGATCCTAACTAAATCTGGAGCATGGTTTTTTGGGAGTGGTCCACAACAGCCATCCAGTCATGATGGAACACTGAGTGACACAGCTACTGGTGCTGGTTCAGAATCTCCTAGAGAAAAGAAAGCTAGGCTTCAGGAACGGTCACGATCTCAAATACCCCTAAGCACAGCAGCCACAACTGCACAAGAAATATCCTCTGGTGTGCAAGCAAACAGAAGGAAAGCCCCAGAAGTGTCACAACAAACTATGGGCCTGGAACAGAAACAAACTGCTTCAAGATCTCGAAGTGAACCCCCAAGAGAGAGGTAATATTGATGCTAATGGATTCTTCCTGAATAATTATGGGAAAACCCACAACTATAAGATTAGGCAATGTGGAGAGTTTATTGCAAATGAAGAAAGTTGTCTGTCCTTTATCATAGAAGCTGATTGTCAATGAATGAATGTTGATTGAATAGAAGTTGATTGACAATGGCTGAAGCATCAATAGGAGAGGAGGAGGACTCTGAGGCTGCCTTCAACAGCTACTGTTGACAAACTCAGCAGAGATTGAGGAAAGAATTCCAATTGCTTCTTCTATCATATGAGAAGGGCGAGGGCAGAGAAGGCAAGCCTAGGAGAAATCAGAAGATGGAATAAAAGAGAAAAATGACCTGTTTCCCCCCACCAAAAAAAATATATGTGTACATGATCAACACAAGAACTTACATTGCTTGACTTGAGAAAATCCATGTTTTTAATTGAGAGGAAAAGCCACTGTTCATCTTGCTAATGTTGTCTTCTTACTCCTCTCCATAATGCATTATTTCCTTTACATCTTTCCCCCAGTAATCATACATAGTGTGTTTTTGAAGCAATATATTGTAATGTGGTCATAGTAATTGCCTCTGTAGAACATCTGTAGAGTGCACCCTAAGTGCTCCAGAAAGCCATGCCTGCGTCTCAAACTGGCATTCAGATTGGCTTAACAATACAGGTAGTCTTTGACTTACAACCACAATTGAGGCCAACATTTTTGCTGCTAAGTGAGACAAGTGAGTTTTAAGTGAGTTTTGCCCTATTTTATGACCTTGCTTGCCACAGTTGTTGAGTGAATCACTGCAGATATTAAATGAGTAACATGGTTGTTAAGTGAATCGGACTTCCCCATTGACTTCGTTTGTCCAAAGGTCATGAAAGGGGGGTCACATGAGCCCAGGACACGGCAACCATTGTAAATATAAACTAGTTGCCAAGCAGCTGAATTTTGATCACATGACTACGGGGATGCTACAGTGGTCATGTATGAAAAATGGTCATAAGTCCTTTTTTCAGTGCTGTTGTAACTTTGAACAGTCACTAAATGAACTGTTTGTAAGTCGAAGACTACCTGTATGGCCGATTATGCACATGATTATTTAAGATTTAATTAATATTTACATGTAACCATTCATAATGTGTAATTAAGCAACCATGGAAAATGGACAAGGTACGTCCAAATTCTTAAAATCATTAAATAAAAACAGATATCATCATACAAAAAGTCTAAGAGCAATAAAATCTGATTTTAAAAAAAGATCTACTAGGGCCAGAAATAATAAAGTAAAAGTTACAGATAAATTATTTATAGGGAAATAAGTTTATAATCGGCCTTCTATTTGTTGCCACTCTGAAATAGGGGTTCTGGAAATAGGGCCTTTAAAGACTATTTCAAGGCATGGCAATTTTTAAAGGGGAGAAGAGAATCCTTCTGAAAACATGGTTCAAACATATTTAGTTTTTAAAAATTAATAGTAGTATGTAAAATTTGGTCTAGGAATAGTTTTGGAACAATTGTAGATCATAAATCATTAATGTGACATAACTATATTGGAACAATCTCTTTAGCAAGTTCATTATCATAGTTTGAACTATTGAATTTTCCAGGTATTTTTTGAAATGTTCCAATATAAGGAACTGCAATAATCCATATGATAATTTTCCAATGTATAACTTTAAGATACAGAATTCCAGATAGCATATTCGTCTAATTAAAATATTTTAAAGATTAATTTAAAAAATAGTACCACATTTTAGCAACTCTACCTTCCACAAATGGGTAATTAAGGATGTTAGAAAATGAATTGTCCTGAACTGAACTGAATGTAATTCGATAACTTGCATCTATGCAGATGTATGTCATGAAAGTCATTAAAAAAAGCATCCAACATTTTCTTCTGCTGTATGAAAGGGGTAACAAATCTTGCTCCTTCCTTCCAAATATTGCTGTGTCAAAAACCCTGACCTACCAATGACCAAAACATATTTAAGAATAGTACTAAACAAAATCCTGACTGAATATTGTGCCTGATCATATTGGTTCTTTAGAACCCATGCACTTCCTAGAAGTGGGTCAGCTGGCCAGGAACTTAATGTTCTTTTCCAGAAAGGAAAGAAATGAGTTCCTAGAAGATCCAATGGTTGCTTGTGGGGATTAGGAACAAGTGGGAATTTCTATCTGAGTAATAATTACGCTCAGTCACACTGAAACAACACTGAAGATACTGTTCTAACTGATGTTTCTTGCTTGAAGAATTACATCAAAATAGCATCAGTTGGCTGCAGACTAGCATTAATTTTCAGGCAAGCATTAAGATAATTTTACACAAATAATTTAAACTTCGTATTTTATTTATGTAGAATGCAGTGGAGTGTGCAGTTTTGGGTGCTCCAGAATTTGTCTATGCAAGGCCACGCTTGCATGGGCTGCCCCTGTTACAGTATTCTTCCAAGTGCAATTCACAGTATTGGTCATCAGTTTTAAAGCCTACAAAGTGACTTGCAGGATCATCTGTCTTTGAGAGCTTCTGTCCATTCCACCCAATTTTAGCAGAATCTTGGTCCCCTCTATCAAAGAGTACTATCTCGCAGGACTAAGGAAGTGTGTCTTTCCTTGCTGCATCTGCCATATGGAACAGCTTCTCCCTGAAATTCAGATGGTTCCACCCTCTTGGCCTGGTGTAGGACAACTTGCCGTAGCCATGGCCATCTCACCATAGCCAACTCGCTGTGGGACAAATCGCTGTGGCCAACTTGTTTCAGGACAACTCGCCATGGGACAATTCCACATGAGATAACTCAAATGTGATAAATGTTATCTGCCACTGTTTCTTCAACATTATATTCATTTTTGTCCATTTCTACAAAAATGGAAATAATATCGAAGAAACAGTGATGGATAAACATTTATCACACTGAGTTATTCTATGTGGAATTGTCCCACAGCAAATGGTCCCATGGTGAGTTGGTGGCAATGAGTTGTTTATAGCAAGTTGGCAACGGTGAGATGGCCATGATGAGTTGGCCGCAACAAGTTGTCCCAATCCGTCTTGGCCTTCCAGAAAGCTGTTAAAATTTGCCTTTCCCCCCTGCGAATTGCCGGGGGGGGGGGGGGTTCTACATATATCTGTTACTATGGAATTGTTATTTATTTTTGCTTACATAGGATTATTTTCATCAGTTGGTGTATGTGTGTGGGGGGGTTATATTAATTGGATTGCTCACTGCCCAGAGTTAGGTATTCAAGATGGGGAGCTATATAAAATTTCTAAACAAATAACTTTCTCTTACCTCCTCATTATATCAGGAAGAAGATACCCTCTGCTTTTGAGCAAAATGGAAAAGGAGGCATAAAAATTGAGCGCAAACGTGTGCCAAAGTCTTCACTACAGCAGAGTGAAGGACAAACAGATGAGAAGGGAAGTAAAGAAAGGCGTGATGGGAGAAGGTTAGAGAAAGGGAGGTCTCAAGACTACTCTGACTTCCCTCCCCATTTTGAGGAAGGCAAGACAGTTAATGAGGAAAAACTGAGGAAAGAAGATGAATATACCAGGTATAGGAGTGATCCAAATCTTGCAAGATACCCTGTGAAACCCCATCCTGAAGAGCAGCAGATGCGCATGCATGCAAAAGTTTCAAAAGTGCGGCATGAGAGAAGACACAGTGATGTTGCCTTGCCTCATACTGAAGTTGAGGAGCCTGAGGTGCCTGAGAATAACCATGGAAAGCATTCACAGTTACAAGGAACTCAGGATATAAAATCCCATGTGGATGCCCTGAGGATATATCCAATAGAAAGAACAGGTGATGTCAGGATTTCTGTTTCTAAACAATTAATTTCTCATACCCCATCAACGCCCCGCCATAGCATGGTTCTTACAGAACATTTAGAATCCAAAAATCATGATTCCTTTAAAGCACAAACTTGCTTAGATCCCAGCTCTGCAATTCTCAGTCGGAAAGCAAAGCGAGAGAAAATAGAAACCATGCTAAGAAATGATTCCCTTAGTTCTGATCAGTCAGAATCAGTGCGACCCTCTCCCCCAAAACCTCATAGATCAAAACGTGGTGGGAAAAAAAGACAGATGTCTGTCAGCAGCTCTGAGGAAGAAGGAGCATCAACACCTGAATATACCAGCTGTGATGATGTAGAAATAGAAAGTGAAAGTGTCAGTGAAAAGGGTAAGTCTTCCTTTAAAAAAAAAAGAAAAAAAAAGTATTGTACATGCTTGAAATCTGTATGTGTGTATGTATATATACATATTCTCCATGCACTAATTGTTATGTGGTTGTTACACTAGTATTATTATGCTAACATAGTGAAGGTGTTGAAGGAGTAACTTTTTAAAATCTGAACTACTGCAAGCTCTTGTGGATTGGGTTAAATCTTGGTAAGAGAATTATAGTTATTAAAATACTATTTCTTCGATGGCCAGTGAAAATAAGCAGTAAGGACTACATACCTACTGTACCTTCTTTCCTTTTCCTTGTTTTCCTCACCTCTTTTCTTCCCTGTCTTCTGCGTAGTTTGCGTTTTTGGATGACATGCTCTTTTCTTCCTTTCCCCCCCTAAAATTATTGCACTATGGACATGAAATTTATCTCTGAAAAAGCGTAGCTCATCCTATGATGTGATTTGTACTTATTCTACATACAAATTTAATATAAACAGTGTTAAGGATGCTGAGAAAATTGAAATGCAATGGTTCCCCCCCCCCCCCCCAATCTCTAAGTGGCAAATGTTTTTTTTTTCCTTTTCATTTCACTATATGGTTACAGCAACTTGATTATGGATTCTCCACTGACTCTCAGTACCACCAGTTACAAGAGAACACTTTAATCACTACACCACACTGACTCTCCGTCCACTGATTAATATCAGATCCCACATGTTGAGGTAATTCCCGTTAGGAGAATGAGCGCACACAGGGAGATGTAGTGAGAGTGGTGAAGAATAACACACAGCCAGCACACAGATACACCTGCATAGTAAAATGTAGGTTTTTACTTCCAGTAAAACCATTAAGCAAAGTTCAACAAACAGTCCAAGTCTTTCACGATTAAAGCAATCAGTTTTCAGTCCAGGGATAATTCAATAACAAAGTCCAGTATCATAAACAGTTCAGTAAAAGACTCACATCAAATCCAAGAACAATGATGATCAGCAACGGTCAATAGGGAAATGCAGGGACGGCAACACTCTCAGCAACAACAGAACAGAACAACCCAGGTTTCTGGCTCCATCTTATGGCCGTTTGAAGAACCACACCCAATTACAATTTTAGTATTCCCTTAAAGAGACAATATTGAAATATCTATCCTGGTTTATATATTTTCCAACCCAACTGTTAGGTGACTTACATTCCTAACATTCTCCCCTTTGGGTAGGACAATATATACAACCTTACATTCTAAGTCCATAATCCTCACAGCAAGCCTTATGCTTTACAGAGCCTTGGGCTTTTATAAAATGATCTGTGATGTTATTTTCTGACATACAGTATTCCAGCTTAATCATCTTACTTTGAACACATTGTCTCACATTTAAATATCTTAAATCTGTGTGTTTTGATCTTCTCTTAACAGCAAGATTGGAAGCCATCTGTATTGCTGATTGGTTGTCTTCATAAACAACAATAGAATCTGCTACATCAATTCCCATATCAATTAATAGTTGCTTATAACAAACTAAATCTGTACATAATAAAGACAAACATGAGAATTCAGCCTCCATTGTTGATAAACTTAAATGTTTCTGTCGAATAGACCTCCATCCAATCAATAAACTTTCCCAATAATACTATAGTACCTGACGTAGATTTACGTGTATTTATGTCTGTAGCGAAACTTGCATCGGCATATGCAGTTAGACTTAGTTCATCCTTAGGCTCCAAATACAATGCATAATGCATTGTTTGTTTCAGATATCTTATTAATTATTAGGAACTGTATTTACTTGGCATACAACACTAGCCTGATATCTATCAGGTGGTTATGTTACACGGGTTGAACATCTTGGTAATACAGGGCTTACTGGTGGACTCACATGTGCCACCTGCTCCTGTTCTTGTACCTTCTCCTGTGCCTGTTCTCCTACTTCCTCCTGTTCTTCCTTTTTAATGGCTATTCGTGGTTTACTTATTTTATCTTTAGGGACTATTTGGGTGTCAATAATAATATCATTGCTGGATTCCTGTTCCAGTTTATTCCACCCAACGTGCTCAAGAAATTTAGCACTAGCGCTGCAGTAAATATTAGCTATGCCTTGATCCCAGAATCTAAACGATCTATGGTTGGCCTCGTAACCTACAAAAAATAATTTCTTAGCTCTACGTTGCCCTTTCAGTCTTACTTGTGAGGGATATGCACCCATGCTGGAGCTCCAAATGTATGTAGGTAACTTAAATTTGGTTTTCTGCCATGCCAATGAGTGAATGGCAATTCTTCAGTTGTTGTGTTAACTACATTGTTTAAAACATGGTAACTACACATGTGTTTCAGGTAAAAGTGTTTCAGGCAAACCTGAATCAGATAACATAGTGCGAGCCATGACTTGTAACGTTTGCCCTCTTCTTTCTACAAACGAGTTATGTTGTGGTCTGTAAGGTGCCGAATGTTTATGCTGGACACCAGCCAATTTCAGCAGTGTTTGGAATCTATTGTTAACAAACTCAGTCCCATTATCAGTAACTAAAGTAATTACTTTACTCCTCATTTTTCTCTCAGCAAATCTTAGCCAGTTAAAGAAATGTTGGAATGTTCCTGTTTTGTTTTTCATGAGATAGCAGAAACCCTACCGTGAGTAATGGCCATTATACTCAAAATATAGCAGGTACCTCCCAAACTGGGTTTTTTAAGACCAATTATGTCAGCAAGAACAACCTCTAAAGGTTCTTTGGTCTTAAACCCATTCAGTCTGTTTGCTGGAATAATCTTGGCTACAGGCATTACAGTTTAAATACTTGCTACAGGGTTTTAATTTTACTCCCTTTGACAATATAACAGTTTGTTTGAGCATTTTGAAATAAATGTGCCCTAGACGTCTGTGCAGTAAATGTATACATTCGTCATGTGGCTTAACATTGTTATAAACCAAGTTAGCCATCTTCAACTGATCATCATGTATCACATATAAATCATTCTCTAAAGTAGCAGTAACACTTTTACTCTCTTTCTCTATTATACAGTTATCTCCCCTAAAGGTTACTACATAACCAAGATTAACTAAAGCCCTTACTGATAACAAATTAAATTTCAGTTTAGGTACATATAACATAGTTAAATGCTCATTTACACAGGAACAATATGCAGTACCTTCACCAGACGCTTTCATGGATGCATTTGCCAATGATACATGTTGCTTACTCGTAGACATCTTTACAAACCTCACTCTATCTTTAGTAAAGCACTGCGATGCTCAACTATCAACAACCCACAAATCATGGTTTACAGTTGAATTGCTAGACATAGCTAAACTAACATTTTTCTTAGCCTTCTGGTAATTACCAGTATTCTGTCGTTTGCCCTTCTTACAGAATCTAACTATATGTCCCCTAGCCCCACAAGAAAAACATTTCCTAACAGTATAGGCAGTTGAAGACAAATCCTCTTCTTGTGGTTGTTCCTACCTCAGTTGGTCCCTATCCAGTCGTCTTCTTGCTTCTTCTAACAACCTTCTGGTTATGTCAGTCAATGTCAGTTCATCTTTGGTCAGGACTTCCAGTGAAGATACATAATCATCATAACTTTCATCCAATGAGGAAAGAATGATGTAAACTTGATGCAGCTCTGAAAATGTCAGTTCCTTTTCATGTAGCTCTTGAAAAGTTCTTTTCATGAAGTTCAAATGAGCTAACATATCTCCACCTTTCAGAAGACGTGCTCTAAACAGTTTACGTGTAAGATGTATGTGTGCACCTACACTGTCACGAACAGAAATCCTCTTCAAATTCTCCCAACACTTAGCGGCAGACTCTTCTCCACGAATATGGACTAGCTGCTGGTCACTCAGTGTTAGTCCAATTATACAAAGAGCTTGTTCGTTGTTCCATTTAAAGTCAGCAAGCTTCTTGGCATCATCCTCATTATTTGGATCCCAAGCATTTACATTCGGTGGACCTTGAACTGCAGCCCATAACCCTTCTCTACGCAGAAGTAGACTGCACTTCATGGATTAGGAAACATACTTTGTTCCATCCAACCGGGTTATCAGTGATAGACTTGTTGACGGGTCTTGTGCCATCTTTACCAGGACAGTAACCCACAATTAAACAGTAAACAGCTGTCTGTATACGGTACTCTCAGTTATCTGAGCCTGGTATGGCCTGGGCCCATAACCAGTGTTGAGGTAATTTCTTTTAGTTTTTTTGTCCATGGTGTATGCCAGGAACATTTTTTATCTCCCACTAACTGAAGCTGCAGAGACTTTGCTACCTTATATTAGTTAATCAGAGACTGGCTGTTTTTCTGCTGCAGAGGTTACAAAACCATAATTGTTGAGGACTGGAGAGGTTGTGTCACCTTGTTGAGGTAATTCCCCATTAGGAGAATGAGCGCACACAGGGAGGCATAGTGGGAGTGGTGAAGAATAACACACAACCAGCACATAGATACACTGCATAGTAAAATGTTTTTAGTTCCAGTAAAACCGTTAAGCAAAGTTCAACAAACAGTCCAAGTCTTTCACGGTTAAAGCAGTCAGTTTTCAGTCCAGGGATAATTCAATAACAAAGTCCAGTATCATAAACAGTTCAGTAAAAGACTCACATCAAATCCAAGAACAACGATGATCAGCAACAGTCAATAGGGAAATGCAGGGACGGCAACACTCTCAGCAACAACAGAACAGAATAACCCAGGTTTCTGGCTCCATCTTATGGCCGTTTGAAGAACCACACCCAATTACAATTTTAGCATTCCCTTAAAGAGACAGTATTAAAATATCTATCCTTTGTTTGGCAAGCAAGAATGTAATGCACCATTCAATTTTTTCCATTTTCTACATAGGAACGTATCAAGTAAAAAAGCTGGAAGTCTTTCTAGATGTTGCAAGATATTTTTAAGAAATACTAGGTAACCTAAACCCTGTAAATCTTTTCTTCACATACATTCTGGGGTAGTGCAGGAATCAAAATGAAAGATTCTGCAATAAATGTGTATGACAACATTTTATTTATTTATTT